TATTATTATCTTCACTGCACAGATGAGCAAATTGAAACTCTATTAAATGAACTCACTTACTGATGTTATGCAAAAAGCTAGGATTTGACCCAGGTTGATTTGACTCAAAGTCCATGCTCTCTCAGGTATGACTGGATTATTATTCAGAAAAGTTTCCGATCTTTCTCAAAAGGGTATTCTTCTTCAGGAACCTGACACCTGAAATTCCAGCATTAGAGATTCATTCCTTTAACTTACTTTTTCTTCTCTTTAAAATGCAAATACTTCTGAGAGAGGTTTCACATAAATCCTCATCATGCATACTTCAAGTCAAATAAATTTACCAAAAGTGTTTTTTCTCAAGAGTAAGAATTGACCAAAAGAGGCAAAAAACACAGTAGAGTCCTAAACACGGAGAAGACAGGTTGCTGAATGGAGAAAGAGGTTGAAGGAATTGAAAACAGGTATTGCTAAAGACAAAACTTAGTGCCATTTACAGTATGACTTAAGAGAATACCTATTACACAGTCATCAAATTGTATACATTAAGTATGTGCAGTTTTTTGTATATCAACAGGCTGTTAAAAAAAAAAACAAAGAAGAAGAAGAAGAAGAAGAAGAATGCACCTACTGCAGGCACTGTGTGAAACACTTTGGCAGTTTCTCAATATCTAAACCATGTGAGCCAGCAATACCGCTCCTATATCCAGAGAAATGAAAATATATATCCACACACAAAATCTTGTATGCAAATATTCATAGCACTACTATTCATAATAGCCAAAAGGTGGAAACAACCTAAGTATCCATAAATTGATGAACAGATAAGCAAAATGTGGTATATCCATACAATGGAATATTATTTGGCCATAAAAAGGAATGAGGTACTGATACATGCTACAGCATATATAAACCTCAAAAACATACTAAGCAGAAGAAGTTAGTCAAAAAACATCTGATATTGTATAATTTTATATATGTGAAATGTCCAGAAAAGGCAAAATCCATAGAGATAGAAAGTAGGTTAGTGGTGACCAGAGGCTAGGAGACACGGGAAATATGGACTGAACCGTAATAAGTACTGGGGGTTCAGGGGGTGGCAATGAAAATGTTCTAAAATTAGATTGTAGTGATGGGCTCACAACTTAGTGAACGTACTAAAGACCATTGAACCGCAAAGTTTAAATGGGTGAATATCATGGTATTGGAAATATAATTTAAGAAAGCTATAAAAAAATAACTAAAAAGAATAAATCTATTAATATATCAAGGCTGTCCTTATGACAAAGATAACATTTTTCCTAAATAAGGATCATATTAGGAAAGCAAAAAATGGTCAGGTTGCCCTAAATTCATTTTGTGCTACTTTTCCCTGCTTTGAATTCTTGCAAGTTGAGTGGATGGGCCTGTGTCTTCAGAGAGAAAATATTTTTAACTTTGATTACACAATGTCTCCAGTTGCTGATGCTAAGAAAACATCGTCACTAACATATGCAATTCTAGCTTTTCGGGCAGTGATTGTCCAGTTTGTAAGTGATTAAAAACCTTTGTGTCTAGCTCTTACTCATTTTCTCCCCCTCCCCCTTCTTCCAACCTAGTCCCAGACTTTTGGCCAGATATAGCTAATTCTTACCTTAAGAGAATGGCAAGAGAAACAAAAGCAAGCAAATCTTAAATTCAGCAATTTTTCTCTCTTTCCGCCATAAAATCACAATCTTAGAATTGGCTCAGTCTTTAGGGACCATCTGGTGTAAGCCTCTCTCTTTCATATAAGAAAACAAGGCCAGAAATAATAAAAGCTAGCAGTTATTGACTGTTTACTCTATGCCAGGCACTGTAATTTACATGTCTTACCTCATTTAATCTTCACAACAACTCTCTAAGAGAGATTCCATTATGATCTCCACTTTATAGATAAGGAAAAGGAGCCACAGAAAAGTTTTATGACTGGAATAAGATCTGCTAAGAAGTAGCAGATCTAGGATACAAACCCAGGGAGTCTGGCTTTAGAGTTCAAGTCCTTTACTACTACTATTTTAATTTCTCCTACAATTATTTAAGCAATTTGCCTAAACAGTATAACTACTTAGTATAAGCTCCAGAACCACCATGGAAGTAAAGCACCCACCACAATACCCACTAAATGAGAAAAGTTTCAGTAGAAGATGTATTTAAACTACAACCTAAACCAAAATGGATGAATTTTCCACTCATTGCAGTCTCGATTTCCACTGATAATTGAGAGATTGAAAGAGAGCTGTCAGAAGTAAGAAGACCTTCCGGTAAGTCACTACTGACCTTATTCTGCCATAATGGGAGATAGGTGTTATAATCTTATGACAGTCTATTTCTACACTTTTTTTTTTTTTCTGGGAATCATTCTGCCAAGTTCTGAGAAGTGACATCTCTGAGATGCAGATGGGGCAAAAATGCAACCAGAGAATTTTCCTCATGAGAAATGACTGACCACCCCATTATTTAATTATTGACCAGTAGATGTATGGGATTTTTGGCCTGAAAGAGTTAATGCATTCACATCCTGTGAAATGAAATAAAATATGAATCCTGAGGTAATTTTTATAGAAAATACAGCATCTTTTATTTATATAGCACAGAGAGCTCAAAATACTTTGCAAAGAACTCATTAATCCTCTATTTATTTTATTCATCAATTATTACATTCCTTAAATCTCACCACACCATTGCAAGTAAGAGGCAACGGAGTCAAAATTATTATATCCTCTAACCCAGGTTAATATGGCACTACAAACGAATGGGTACTTCTCAGGGTCATATGAAAATGGAGCTGTCTTTAGAGCTGAACCTAGGATCACGTGGCACTTTCAGTGAATTTTTTAAAGGAAAAGCAACAAAAGTATATTTAGATTCACTTCACCAGGTTCAAATATAACAGTATCCATCTAAAAGAGGTTTGAAACCAAAATCTAAGGACAAGCTTTCCTAAGCATGCATGTAAACTATGTCTCAAAAGAAGCCAGGGTTACATCTTAAATTAAAAATGAAAACGTCTTCCTATTTAAATAGGTTCAATATCTAGGTTTTGGTTTGTTTGCTTGTTTGGGTGTATTTTCGTAGTTTTGCCAACAACAACAATAAAAAGTTCATGATGTCAACAGAACACAGGAGCAAAAGCATGAGAAAAGGCCTGGCACCAGCAGTCAGCTAAATACACAAGCAAGTAATGCCCCCCTCTCAGCCCAGAGCGCAGCCTGCTGCCCAACTTGGAACCCACACCCTCACTCCTCCCAGCTCAACACCCTACAGCCCCTGGGTTGCAGATTTCTCTACACATTTCCCCTCTCGCAAATCCACTTCCAGATTTCTCAGTGTAACCTAAATCTTCCTCGTTTCCAATCCTCACAGATATCCCCCATTGTTGGAACACACCGCACCAAATTTCCAAAAATCTCATTCTAGTAGGTATGACCACACTGTTCTTTGCACCCTCCTTTTCCACTTCCGAAAAGTCAGAATTTTTCTAATTCAAGGAGTAGACTAAAAATGGAGTACACAAAAGTGACAGGAGAGGAGGGACATTTCTTGTCACAGTTCATCTTGTATGTTGTCTGTTAGAGCCATATTATTGTAAGTCTATAGCTTATACCCAGGTCATAATAAATAATACAGAATCTAACCACATTACTTCTGCCTTAACACACTGGGGTGCCTGATAGGTAGTATCAGGTAAAACTGACTTGTAGTTTCCCTTCATTTGCCCCCCCTTTTCTCTCCTCGGCCCCTTCTACCAGCTCTTTTCACTGCAAAAAACAAAACAAAAAGGACCAAATTCTTTAATTTTCTCATCAGCAAGAAAAAAGTTTTTGCATTTGCCAGCTATGAATGGGCTTCTATGAAAATCAGTCCTGCCACTGCAACCCCTGAAAGAATCTGATCAGAGGCTGCTCTAAATTGTCTAAAGTTATTTCACTCTTGTTCTGTTCAAGGCCTAATACCATCAGAATTATTTCCCTACAATCCTACAGCTTCCTTCAATAATGCCCCCCCCACCTATACATGCGAAGACACACACGTATACACAGACACACAAATTATTCTCTAATGCTCTAAAGCAGAGAGGAGAGAAGTAGAAGTCCTATAATGTAATTGCTATATTAAAAAGAAGTGGCAGGCGAGAATAATAAAGGGAAGGTGTCAAAAGTGAAATACAGTAGTAGACTTAAAAAAACACACACACTACAGTTCTGTGATGGGGGTGTTAATTGAACACAGAGAGCAAAGGAAAGAGAGAGAACAAAAGGGTATTAAGGAAGCAAAAAATAATTTTTTTTTTTACCTCCTCCGATGATTTGATTTAACTTCAGTGCAGACAATGCACAGAGGGAAACTGGCTGAAAAGTGCCATATATAGCTATAACGTTCTAAAATTAAAGACTATTCACAACAATTGCAGCTATTCATTGCTATCTATAAATATTCTCCTTAGTAAATGGCACCCAATATTTTGTGTGTTTTCCTAATTTTTAAACCTGCATGATTTTGACATAAAAGTTAAAAAAGAGAAAAATGTTTAAAAATACATTCAAGGTTTTTTTTAAAGAAATGTAATATACCTGAATTTTCTTCTCCTTATCTTCCATCCCATCAACCCCATTACTACCACATATATGCATATGTAAAACTCAGCCTATTGCTAACATGTCAGAAGACAAACAATGATTCTTAAAATCCAAAATAAAATGTGCTATTAAATGGTCCAAAACTCTAATTAAGTCTCTGTATTCCCAGAATGAGCAAACAGATAAAAGCTACATCTGAAATACATTACTGTAGGTCTTAACAGGGCTTTTCTTGCTGCTGTTTGAGATTTGTCACTCAAGCATTTTGCTGGCATTCTTTTTCCTTAGCATTTATATATAAAAGCAAAAAGGTAGCAAAATAAAAACTTACCCACACGTTGAAGCAAGAAGACACATGGGTACTCCTTTTTTTTTTTTAATATCCCCACAGTAATTTCTGACTTAAATACCCATCAATCAACTGCAATTTAGACAGTGCTGCCTATTTGGGGTGTTTTGTGTGTGTGTGTGTGTGTGTGTGTTTAAAGTTCCAAAAGGTTGATAAGACATTCTTAGCCAGTTTTCCTATTTACTTACTTCTAAGTCTTCCAACTATAAAATCGTTAGCAAAAGCACAAAAGCAAAAAAAAAAAAAAAAAGGCAACAAATGAATGCAATTACCAAGCTCCTCTCTAGAGTTCTCCCTAGGTGAGCCAAATGTGTGAACTTCCATGTTAGAATACAAACAAACAAAGCCCAACCTAAATCAAGGAACCTCTATAATACTTGAGATGGAAGCTCAAAAACACTCATTAAATGCAAGGAGGCTTGAAAGTAACAATAGGAAAAGTCCTCAAACAATTAAGGAATGTATGTGAACTGATCATTCAAGTGATCTTTTCACCAGCTCTGTATCAATGGGAGGGGGAAGCTCCTGCAACTTTACAGACACTTTGTTTCTGCGACACATGCATGACACATGCATGACACATCAACTGCATGGAAGATATGCTGGCACGTAGAATGAGGGCTCCGCAGATCCTGAGTAAGGAAGTAATCGCGCTTTAGAATCAAAGAGTTCTTTTCAACACACCTCGGTAGACTCCTACCTTTAACACAACACTCAACATTCCAGGAGAGGTTTCTTCCTTCCCCTCAATCCTTCCAACTCACAAGTGGAAGAATAAGAGAAAGGCCTTTTTTTTTTTTTTTCTTTTCTACTTTCACCCAAAGGTACCCTCTCAATCCAAACTGAATGTGTGCACAAGTGTGTGTGTGTGTGTACGTGTGTCTGTGTGTTTCCTCCCTACAAAGGGGGCAATGAGTCTTATCGCTTTCCACTTACATTATTTGATAAACTATTTTTTAAAATATATTATTTGAGACAACAAAGAAAAACTTAATTGCTATTTAAAAAATCCAAAAATCTCCAAACGTTAAATGTGTTGGCATAAAAGTCAAACAACAAAATATGAAATCCAACCATAAATTACACTTTTAGAATGTTATTTTGCCCAATACGACTGCTTCCTATCACCATACTTTACCCAGCACGAATAAGGAGCAAACTCTAATCCACACCTGAACCGGATCTCTATTCACCCCCACCTACTTTGATCTACTGCCTCAGTAGGTTTTAATTAGGAAACTAGAATTAAACACTTTGACCACAATGTACATTTAAGTGCACTCACGGGCTTCCTTTCAATAAAAATCTGATAGTGTCTTTAAAAATAGACTCTCTTTAGTCCGGATTATCACATATGCTTTTATATTTTGAGCCTACCTTTTATGAACCAAGATCAGCAGGAACTCATACTCAAATTAGAAACAAATTTCAAGGAACCAAATATGCAAAGTAAATAAGCATCAGAGATCAAAGAAGGAAAAAAAAAGAAAAGAAAAAAAGAGAAAAAATAATATATACACCTAGGTTTCCATCTCTGGGCTAATAGAAAATAAAAATCCTAAAAAGTGTGACCAACTGAAAAAAAGCTCTTTTGATATTTGTACACACAATCCACAAATCTCTTAAAGCATGTCTCACAGCTAAAATAATGCAAGTAACAGCTCTGCAATAAAGGTTAAGCTTTGGCAAGGCAACCTGGAAGACTTAAAGGTCTGAATATCACTTCTCAGGTGCTTTGTCTAGGATGCTATGCACAACACAAATAACATTCAACAAAGGAGCTGCTTACTAATTTTATATGCATTTCAAGACCCGAGTAATTACATATTCGATCAACAGTCACATCTTGAAACTATTTATTTTTGAAAAGAGAAACAGAGAGCTCTCAAAAAGAAAGCCACCCTGCGTGCCCTCTACCCCCCACACACCCCCCGCTTTTTTATGTGTAACTATCAATGTATATCAACTGGGCATGCAATCATATTTATTGTCACTTTCATTCATGTCATGCCCTTGCTTATATGGTTTAGATATGAATTATTGACTGTTACACTCCTTGTTGTAAAAAATAAATAAATAAAGAGGATGTCAGGTACTTTGCACTGGTCTAAAGCGAGCGAGTAAGAGTGCAGCAGAAGCTCCGCTTTATATAACCAAGCCCTGTCCCTCATCTTTATGCTCTGGTTTCAGATTGCCTTCTCAAATCTTTCTTCTTACAAGGGAGAGATTTACCCACTTTGGAAAATTAAGGATTAAAATAAACAAACAAGAGGATCTCGCTAAATGTCCTTCCCAGAGCATCTGTTGTTTAAGAACACCTCTGATTGATGACTGCTATTTTTTAATTGTTGCTTTAAAATTTAAATGCCCTCCTGGGATGTGTTATAAGTGTGTTAGTCCATGATATGAGGTCTAGAAAGTAGAAAAACAACAGAGTGAGTGATCTAATGGCATCATACTCTCCTAAACCCAACGATTCTCCCTGCTATAAAATCACAGGCCACTCAAATACCAATAACTTAATGTTGTATAGCGCTTTCCACAAAGGTATTTGACAACACTCTCTTTAGAGAACCTTTAGTCTGCTGTTTTCTTGTAATTACAGGAAAAAAAAGGAAAGGAAACTGTAAACAGTTTAGGACCCCCACCCTTGCCCAATTCCAAAAAAATCAGGGTTTTAAATGTAGGCCAAAATATATTTCTTCAGGAAATGAACTTTTACTTTCATATTTTTCCTTCCAAAGACACACCATTCTATAAATTTCCCTTCAGAACATAGATTTTAGCCTGAATTTCAAATAGGCTGGAAATAGAGTTAAGGAAAATAAACCAGTAATGCTTGATAATAACTGTCAAAGAAACTTGACACTTTCTTTAAAAGAAAGCAGGACTAGGACTTCCTATTGGAATATGCGGTCAATCTTGATAATATTTTCATTCTGAAATTATAATATTTAAATAACAGGTTCATGATTGCTGGTGAAGTGATTCAATTGGCCAAAGAAAATGCTAAAATGTTAAAATCTCATTCCTACCTGTTTTTTCTTTGATTTCACACAACACATTAAACAAGGCAGGCTTCATTCTGTGGCAGTTTAAAGCATGTTTTCTGCAAGAAAGAAACAACAACATGATAGCTTAGGTGGACTCTCAAGATCAAACTGCTGATAATGCACAGAGGAAAAAAAAATCTGAACATTTAGCCAAAATTATATACCAAGCATAACTCTGTGGCATGCTTCAATTGTTTTTATGACTTAATATACAGAGTCCCGCCACAGAAAAAGAAATAATGTTAATTAGCAGGGAGAGGGTAGGGAGTTAACTACAGAACAGAACTAACCTAAATTATGCCCATTGAGGGAGAGTTGTTTGTTTGGGTTTTTTTGGTCTTTTTTTGTAAAGTAGTTTAATCAAAGTAGAATTCTTAAACCAATAATTCTACCCAGGACAATGAATATAGCATAAACGCAAAGGCAAGTTTTGGATAGTCTATGTAACGACCACAGCCTAGAAACTGTCTGCCTCTCGGTCTGTGTGTTTTCAAATTTAATTCATCCATGTGTTCGAATTCATTCTGCAGATGCCCCTGTATTCTCATAAACACAAGATGCTTGAAAGGTCTTCTGAGTAGAACTGTCAATTTATAAAATTTCAGTCCCCAAGTTAAAGAGTATGGAAATGCATTGCCAGGGGGCAAACATACCCATATGGGGAATAAATTCATTTCTCTGTGTTCACATTATGCCTCTTGTGCACACGCTGCTTATTTGCAGGTGTTGAAATTCAATTATTTACAATTAGGACCTTGCACCCATTGGGGAAAAAATAAATACAATTTTGCCTTTTAGATTAGTGATTTACCTGGTTCATGTGTGTGTGCGCGCGCGTGTGTCTCTGTGTGTGTGTGTGTATGTGTTTGTATTCAGAATGCACTTGAGAAACAAAACAATACCTTTCCTTCTATTTTATTATGGAATCACTTAGCAGAATGATATTGTTTTGGAAACAAAATACAGATCGTATCAGCTATTAGTTAAGGGAATTCTGTTTAACTAAAATTAATGTGTAAAGATAAATGGAAAGTTCTGGCACTCAAAACACATGCAATTCTTTTTAATCCCTTTGAAAGTTAAAAAAGACACACATGCTCATGAAGAACAGATCAGAAACACGTTCTATATACTATACAGCAGGGGAGTAATAAACTCAAAATACAGGACTATTAAAATGAACACATGCATTATTGTATCTAGAATACTAATGGTTTACTTTATAAATAATAACTATGCATTATGAAGGTGTGCCTAGGAAAAGGGAAAAAAGGACACAGTATCTGCTAAGTAGAGTTACATTGTTTAACCAAAAAGAAAGCTTAGGGTTGATTTAGTCAGTTCTCATGTGGGGTGGGCAAAAAAGACTTTAATGTATTAAAGAGCTTTCCTAGGTCTTTTAAAATACTTTTCATTAATTGTATTCTTATAATAGGCCCAAATGCAAACAAAAATTCTCACGCAGCTTCATAAAAATATTGCATTTCCATGGCAGACAAATAAAGCTATAGAAAAAGCACTGAAAATTTCCCCAACCCAAAATTGTATCTGCTCTCTCTCAGCATCTAGGCCATTAAAAGAGGGAACTCATCAAGCCAGGTTTACCCTCAGTTTCACAAAAAAAGAGAGGGACTAAGCATCAAAAAAGTAGTGAGTATCTATTCTTACTAGCCCTTCCACTTCATAAACTTGTTATTAAACCAGTTATTGGTATGTCCGAGTGTATTTTTCTAGAAACAATGTAATGGAGAAATCTGTTCCAATTCAAGAGAATTGCCAGTGGAAAATCTTCCACTTATCATACCTATTAGGTTTTCTTCAGATAATAAAATGTGAAAAGAACACCAATTAATTTTTAAAATTTTCCCCCTATTTTAAAAAAATTAGAAGAGTTCAAATCTTTGAACATTTCCAAGTTTTCAAGCACCCGTAAACCTTAGTACTTTTGAGTTTACATGTTGCATGTGCTTGCAGCTAAAATTAAGAGTGTAATTCATAACATCCATGCTTTTAGCTGCCTTCCTCTCATTTTCTCAACTCAAATTCTTATGTCCCTTAGACAAAAAATATATATCATGTATTCTCCATATAACTAAGTCATTTGAGGTATAGGAATTGTGCGTGTTAAGTTTAGAAGATTTTTAAAGCAAAAAAATAAATTTTAAAAGCTACTTCGGAGACTTAACAAAGCTGGGTAGTATAGATATATGTGGTCATTAGATTTTTTTAAATTCTTCCTTTCGTTCGGCCTTGGGCAAGCTGTTTAGTAGGTTGTCACTTAGTCTATGTTTTATTTTGAAAGAGAATTTGCTGTAAAATCCCAGAGTAGAGAACTATATACCTGGCAGTGGATTCAGTTGAGAAGCTACACAGTTTATCATGTTTCCTTAATGAAAATCTTCATGTCATATAGTATAGAAATACATAAAATTCTTGCATGCTTTCATTTCTAAGTGGTGTTGAAAGAAGTATGGGGGGAAAGAGCATGCTTGATTTTTGTCCCCTCACCCCTTTTTAAAGGACTATACATAGCTGTCTGTGTCACGGAAGGTTTGTAAACTGATTCAAATTAGGAGACAATAAAGTTAAACTAAAAATCTGAGTCTCTTAAAACTAACAAATATGCTTAAAAGCAAAATGACCTTTTCTTTCTATTAACTTTTTAAAAAAAAAAAAAAAACAGAATTAAGTGAATGCAAAATATTTTCTGGATAGCTGATAACTACTGACAAAGAAATACCCTGCTTTTTTTTTTGTTGTTGTTATGTTGTCTTTGGGGGGAGGAGGAAGGGAAGGGGGGGAAAAGATAAATATTAATTTTGGACGGGCAAGTCAAAAAAGAAAATCAAACTTAGGTGAGGAAGTCAACTAAATTTGCAAATAAAGTGTTCTCCGGGACATTTCATTTTGTTATGTTACAGAGTCCCTCAACAAGAAGGCATGGAATGCCGTTCAAAACTTGACAATTCTGCTCTCTCTTATACTTTTTTTAAAGCAGTAAAAAAGTGCCGAGGGCCGCTTTTGGATCAGTTGGCAGTATTTTCGGCGTGCCTGTGTTTGTGTGGATGCATACGAATACCTCTATATTCACACACACACACAATATATATATATATCTATATATATATACACAACAGCCACAGCACGGCATGGGCGATTACACTTTCGATAACAACACTCCTTCAGATTTTACTCCTCCGCCATGTAGTTGCTTGTCAAAATGGGAAAAGAAATAACATTTAAAAAGAAAGCGCTGTGGTGATTCGGTTCCCATTGTTTCCCCCGGCGAGAGGGAGAAAAACAAAACAAAACAAAAAAAAAAAACCCAAGAAAGGAAAAGAAAAGCCTCCATCTCACCTGGCCTGCGCCTCATCCAAACTCTGGTCTGTGATGGTCATAATTTGCTGTAAAATGTCTCCAATGTCCTGCTTCCTCCCGCCCTCCCCCTCGGTCCCTCCGGCCCCATCCTGCAAGTGCTGGGACAGGCCGGGGTGCCCGGCCATCCCGACCCCAGCGTGGGAATGCATCAGCCTGGGCTGCTCGTCCATCTCCGAAGGCTACGGCAGCCCCCGGCTCTTCCTCTGCTGCTCCTCGGCTCGGCTCCCGGGAAGCACCAAGGCTTTTTATCCTTCAAGCTTGTCTTCGAATCCTTTTCAGGATAAACAGGGAAAGGGGGGGAGGAAAAAAAAAAAAAGAAGACCAAAAGAAAAAAAGAAAAAAAAAAACCCTTTGCCTCTTTGGAGGATGGTGGGAGGATGGGGAGAGGGGAGGGGGCGGGGGCGTAAAGGGGTTGCGGGGTGAGGGTGGGGATAAGGGCTGGTGGGGAAGGGTGTTGACTCCAAAAAGCAAGAAAAATAAACCACCTTCCCACTTGGCGAAAAGAAATCAGAGCTGGCTTTTGGTTTTTCAGTCCGGTCTCCTTTGCAAGGCAGAAATGGGCTCCCGGCGCTTAAATCTGTGGCTTAATCCTTTTGCAAATATGCATTGATCGGGAGAAAGGAGAGGAAGGCAGGGGGATTGCAATGCAAACTTTCCCCCCCACCCCCCGCTGCCCCCCACCCCCACTCCGGGCCAGAGTGATCTCAAAGGGGGTGGGCTGTTGCAAAAGCCAGATCTCCCCCAGCCGCGGCGGCAGGCAAAGCACAGGCTCTCTCCTCCTCCGTGTCTCTGCAAACTCCAGCAGCCCCGTCAGCCTCCTGCTTTTGTTTAGCTCGGGCTCAGGACTCCAGAAACATATACAGAAAAACCACAGCCTGAGAGGAGGAGGAGGAGGACGAGAAGGAGGAGGAGGAGGACGAGAAGGAGGAGAGGGGAGGGGGCAGAGGGAAGGGGAGGGGGCGGGGAAGCCGGGAGGCGGGGGAGAGGAGGAGGGAGGAGGGCGCCCGCGGGCCCGCCCCCCTCTCCTGATTGGCCATCAGAGAAAAGACGGGCCCCTCCTCCCCCTACTTCCCTCCCTGCGCCTCCTCTCCAGCCTCCTTCAGCTCCTCCTCGCCCGGCGCCCTGTCAATCAGAGTTCAGAGGTGGGCCGGGAAGGAGGCCGAGCTAGCGCCAAGTCTCCAGTCCTTAAAGGTGCACTGGTACCGTAGTTCCAGCTCCATTTGAGTCAGTTCCCACTTCTCCTGCGGGTCTCACTTAGGTTGCGTCCTTGAGGAAAACCTGGCTCCACTTAAATGCAAACGTATAAAATTAACACGAAAGAACACAGACCCTGTAGGTCCTCCCTCCCACCCCTGGTTTTCTTTTGCTGTCTGTGGCATTGCTATTTAAAACCTGATTCTTGTAAATGCTTGGACCTCAGGGAAACTGCTGAGAGCTAAAGTTTGTCTGCACGAAGTAGCTATGAAACACAATCGAGCCGTTAATATAATTAATAATGTTCTCTAATAAACGGCAGATGTAGTAATAGATACATTTTTTTAGGGAACCAATTCTAGCACAGTAGAGTTAAAAAAAAAAAAGAATACTAAACTGTCATTTTTGTTGCATGAAAACTAAATTATGAACTATGAAACCGAATAATGCTGAAGAAAAAAGATTAATAAGTAAGTTCGCCAAAAGAAACTAATTCAACAATTCTCTCTTCTTTCCTCTAGGGGAAATTAGTTATTTGGCTTAAATGCCTAATGAAGAAATGCATTATCACAGGCTGGTTCTAGTTTTTAATATAGTCTAATAAGCATTACTAACTGGGAAAAGATACGAGCTGACATTTATTGAATGCCTACTATGCACCAAGTAATTTACATGAGTTATTTTATTTAATCTCCATGAGTTATGGATTATAATTTCCATGTACAGAAAGAAAATTTAGAAAGGTTAAATAACTTGTCCAAGGCCCACAGTAATTAAGTGTCAAAGTTGGAATTCAAACCCAAGCCTGACTCTCCTCAAAGGCCTGGTGTTTCAACTGTACAACCTGCCTCAGTCTAACAGAAATGTGTGAATAGTGTAAAAATTAGTTACACACCTATTGCCTGTCTAGTTTAAAAACAGACTTAAGGTGCTTAAAAGGATATATATTGAAACAAGATGACTCAACTGAAAGTGGGTAGGAAAAAATAAAACAATAAACAAATAAAATGGAAATCAGGAGAAAAGCCAATAAGAAACTGCTAGCTAGAGTCCAATACCAGAGCTCAAAATGGACACAGATTTGCATCCAATGTTTTCATTAGGCAAGGCCAAGGGAAAATCTGACTGGGTACACAGTCACAATAGACATAAGATAAAATAGCAGACCAATTGCTTAGGGAAAGCGTACGATATTTCGGAATATCAAATATTCTACTGTGTGGCCAGCCCTCTTCCTGGATGGCTGCACAGCCAAAGGAAATACGTTGAACCACTGCAAACTACAGTGTAACCAGTCTGCAAAATGGAAAGCAGCCTTGCCAGGTGCTTTGAGATCCTCAAATAAAATGTTATTCTTTTCATCAATCATTAGGCAAAACAAGTTTGGCAAGATAAGAAGCACTAATGAAAGCATTTCAAAGCAGTTCTTAACAAGCTACTTGGCACTTATTGGTATGAGGGCATGCAATAGAGAGTATTAATTGTAATTATGATGTTATATTACTTAATAACAATTATTTTCCTCACATATTCCAACTTGTAAAGTGTTTTTTTAAATCAACACTAATCAAAAGTTGAGCCTCAAACTCTATGCTCAAATCACATATCAATCACAGTGTGAATTAACATATCCCTTACAATGATGAAGTTATCGCATCTTAAAGCATGCAAAGAAGTCAACCTAGAGCCTATAAGAAATCAGTTTGTAAGCAATTAATTCTAACTGCAAACCTAATAAAAGCTCTTCAAGCAAAGTATTGGAAATTGTACCATCAATACCAAAAGATACCATCAACACCTAGGTCCCTGGAAAAATTGTCTTCCATGAAACAAGTCCCTGGTGCCAAAAAGGTTGGGGACTGCTGCAATATGAGATGAGAGAAGGGGGTAAGAAGGGGTAACCCAGTTAGAGGAAACACAAGCAGTCTTTAGGGTGGACCTAAAGGATAAGTTGAATCTGGAGGGCAAATTTAATGAATTTGACAGAAATACCGGTATCTCTTCAGGGAAATGAAAGTGAAATTAGGGAGGTATGATTGGGAAGTCTTTGAACAGCAGCATCATTTGAAAAGGGAAGGTGAAATTAGGAAGATGGGGCTGGGCATGGTGGCTTACACCTATAATCCCAGAACTTTAGGAAGCCAAGGTGGGAAGATCACTTGAGGCCAAGAGTTTGAGGTTACAGTGAGTTATGATTGTGCTGCTGCACTCTTCTAGCATGGGCAACAGAGCGAGACCCCTAGCTTTAAAAAAAAAAAATGAATAAACCAAGGTCCCCAGAGGTTGAATTACTAGACAAAGTGTGATGTAAAAATTCTGATTTTGAATACATTACAGAGAATAAAAGAAGTCAAGAAGAGAAACTATCACAGATGAAATAAAATAAAAATTAGAATCTTCTATTTGCATTTAGAAAGTTCTAAAAGTAAGTTCCAAGGAGAAACTTATACACGCAATTTCCATACCTTACAAGTTGTGACAAAAGATGGATGATGCAGTACTTTAATTGTAATAGATACTTAACAAATATGTGCTGAAAGAATTGATGATGCTAGTAATCATGCTGTATTTTTTTCAGAATAATCTGTGAATCATGTTCTAAGGACATGAGTCATTATCAAAGTTTGGCCAACTAGCAAAGTAGTTATCAGTCTGACCTCAGTCTTACATTTCTACAAAATCCTCTTACTCTGTTTACCTCTATGTTAAGATTTAGTTTACCCTGAGGATTCTCTTTCAATCTTCATTAGAAGCCCACTAGTACATATTCTCATCTTCACTACAGGACAAAGAGCAGGTGCAAGGAGAATGTGCAAGGACCCTGATCTATTTTCCAGAAAACAAAATTATTGCAAAGAGATGGATCTCTTGGCATGATCTCAGAAATAAATTCACTACCACATGGCTTTGTGTCATCTGAGCAGACACTCATATATGTATATTTATGATCATATTTGAATTGGCCTCTAGGTTTTTGTAACTTCCCTATTTATGTGGGAAAAGACATTTTCCTCTGCTCAAGAGAGTCAGAACCAGAGATATTAGGTCATTAAAAATTAAACGTCTGATTTCAAATCAAAAGTGTAGTTTATTATATCTCAAACAAGATGTAGTACAATTAATCAAAGTATATGCCTAAACTATCAACACAGTTTTGCCATCTTAGCAGTAGCTTGCTTATGGCAGCAATGAAGAAGCCTGGAGAGCAAGTGGCAATGAAATCTCGAAAGGCATTTTTCACAGCTTGTTGAGAATTGAATATTTTTTCCATGCAAGAAATGGTTGAAAGCCTGGAAGAAGTGGTAGTCAGTTGGTGCAAAGTCCGGTCAATATGGTGAATGACAGAGAGTTTCCAATTCCAGCCTCTGCAGTTTGAGCAGCGTTGTTTGTGCGACATGTGGTCAAGCATTGTCTTGCAAGAAGATTGGCCTGTCTCTATTGAACAATCTCAGCTGCTTAACTGCAAACATCCTCATTGTTTCATCCAACTGGTTGCAGTAGACATCCATTGTAATCAACTGACCAGGTTTCATGAAGCTGTAGTGGATAATACCAGTGCTGGGCCACCAAACAGACACCATTAGCTTCTTTTTATGAGTATTCGGTTTTGGACTGTGTTTCGCCACTTCATCTTTATCCAACTATTGCGCCAAACACTTGCAATTGTCCAAAAAGAATCCATTTGTCATCACACATAACAATACAGTATAGCAATGGTTCACCTTTATGTCATGACAGCAAAGAAACACAAGCTTCAAGATGATGTCTCTTCTGACTGTCATTTAATTCATGCAGAACCCATCTATCTAGCTTCTTTACCTTGCCCATTTGTTTCAAATGGTCCAATATTGTTGGAATAGTAACACCAAACCTGGCTGCTGATTCACATGCAGGTTGAGATGGATTCGTTTCCACTATAGCTTTCAGCTCATCATTATTCACCTCGGTCTCAGGTCACCCCCACATGGCTCATTTTCAAGATTAAAATCACCAAAACAGATCTTCTCAAACCATCAACATACTGTGCGTTCATTAGCCACATCCTTCCCAGACATTTCATTGATATTTCTTAGCTGTCTGTACAGCATTCCTTCCACGACAGAACTCATATTCAAGTAACATGGATTTTTGACTTATCAATGGTTTCACAAAAATTGCTCTAAAAAATTTTTTTGAAAGATAATCACAAGCCAAAACGTGCATTTGAAAGAATGAGGATCTACCTTCACAATAAAAATAAGAAAAAGAAGTGTCAAAGTGAAATGTCAGAGATATCAACTGTCAAACTTAGTACTTAAGGAAATCAGACATTCCGTACTTAATAACCTGGAGTATTATCTGAGGCAATTGCAGGTATCTATTCCTCTGCTGAAGGAGTCCTTTCTGTCTTTTTCATCTCTTCTCTGACCCTTTAATTTTTGCTTTTCTTAAACTTTTGCACTCAGTTCTCTAAGCCCATTCCTCTTGCTCTTTTCTTCTGTCCAATCTCATCTGTCTTGCTCCCAGAGATCTTCCCCCTCCCAGCTCAGTCCTATCTCCTTGACCCATAGGGCAGGCCCTGCAGCAGTGCTGGGACCACCAGCCTGCATGGGACATTGAAGTTGTGCATGACAGCAGGGAGAGCCTAGAACAGGAAGTCTTAACCCAGGGTCCACTAAGCATGCATCAGTCCTGACCCTTTTTGGCACCAGGGACCAGTTTCGTGGAAAACAGTTTT